CAGAATTTGTGAGTCTGAAAGGAGGGCCACTGGTTAAATACCACTGAAAGCCAAGTTCAAGTTGAAAATAAACTGAAGTTCTTTTGGGACCCTAAGCTCTCCCTGACAGCTTATTTATGCCATAGAAAGCCCCACCCAACACGATCCCAATTAATCAAAGCTCTCAAGTAAGGGCTGCTTCTATCTCCTGGGGCTGGTATCTAAAACCCCCACTGCACACAGAAGGAAAGCAGTCTGCCGGTAGCAACAGAAAAGTCTGCGTGGCTGTCCCAAGACAATCAAGAGAACAGAAAGGAAGCAGAGGGTCCCTGGCAGTTGAAGCATAGGGGAGGCACCAGCAGAAGTCAGCAGTGCCACAAGTACTGGTTAATACAGAATTGAAAATATATAGCAGTCATTAGTTTTTGAGTCAAGTATCATTACACCCATTAACAACCAAGAGAAATAGGAGAGCTCAGACGTAAGCCACCCGTCTCAAAGTGCAGCACAGCGTTGTGAAGGAAAGCAGACTTGATCCAGAACGCCAGGGCTTTGAGCCTGACTTGGCTATCTGCTTTCTATCAGGCAATTTCACTAACCTCAGTGCCTCAACTGTTCTACCTGTAAAATAGGGATAATTATAGTCTACACTTCAAAAGGTAGTTATGAGGACTAAATCAGTTAATCAATATCAAGCCTCCAGAACAGCTCAGGGCACACAGCAATCAGTGAGGTTTAGCATTTTGTTGAACAGGGTGAAACTGGGACTAACAACTGACAAAACCAATGTTCTACTGTATCCCATTTATTTCCAGGGCCCCTAATGCCGCCTTTTTATCTGTGTCAGGGTAGCCAAAGACTACCAGTCAGCTCTGCCTCCACCTGGGGGATTCTCTACACTCCAAAGAGGCCCCAAAGTTGCAGTAGAGAGTTCAGAGTTGCTTTCTAGGGGCCTGGAAGGGAAAAACCCAGCTCTGAACCCAAAGTTTCCCTGGGTTCTCAGCGGCTGAGAGGAGCCTGCAGGCCGACAGCACATCCACTAAGATCCTGGGCCCTCCCCACAAGGGCTGCCCCTCAGCTTGCTGAGGTCCACCTCCTTTCCCTGCTTCCTCAGGCCTCTCTGCTCCCATAGGGAACCTCTCCTATTTTCCAGGAAACCCACCACTTGTGACCTTTCACCCTTAAGGATAAGATCTTATGGGGAAGTCTTCCGTAGGCCTCCCGGAAGAAACTTTGCATAGCTTCTTCTACAACAATATGTGGCTCGCGGTCATCACTAGGCATCAGTGTGCAGACAAGACTACCTCCCAGGGGCCAAGATTCCCACCCACCTGAAGACCCTCAAGGTATCTTGAGTACAATAAACATCAAATAATTGTCAAACAGAACAAGTTTTACCAAGCTGGGATGAGCTAGTTTCCTAGCTTTTCCAAACTTCTAATTATTCAGTTTTATGAACCTTGAGGGTTTGTCCTGGGTTTTCTTTTTGGTCCTTTTTGTTGCTATTTCTTAGAAGCATCAGTGTGTACCTTACAGAGAGCATCAGAATTTCTGAGCTTGACAGTGAGCTCAGGCTTGCCTGACATCTTTTAAGTGGCAGTAACCTTGAATTTAGTTTTAGGTGCAAAAGACAGGGTGCTTTGGCAATGAAAACAAGGGGATAAAAAGCAAACTGTAAACTCCTTTTTAATGAAAAGTTCTTAAAAGTTAAACAAAGCCACCAACCCATCAACCAAGTAATTTACGAGACTATTTGTTTTTGGTTTTTGTTTTTTAAAAAAGCCCGACAGGCTGGTTTGAATACTACCACTAACTCACTTGGGGTAAGTCCTGTCCCTTTTCCAGGCTTCAGTTTCCTCCCCTGTGAAACAGAAGGCCAGATGAGACGTCTAAGATGGCTCACTACTGACTGTCAAGCTTCTGTTCTCTATACAATGCTCTGGGTAGGACCTTTTGGTCTATGTTCAGAGAGAAAGGAAGGCCATAAAACACAGAAGTCTACCAAAGTTGGACAAGATGAAGAACTGCATTAAGAAGTCCTCTACCCTTTCTCTGACACTGGTTTATTCATACATAACTTTTTAAAACTACAGAAATGTCTTCGGGTAGAGTTGACACTGAAGTGGGGCTTGGGGACAGGGACGAACCATTCTCTATTCTGCCGAATTATGAAATAAAATGCACTTTCTCTCTACCTATCCGTGTGTTATCAGGTTCCCTTCTTTTAAAGCCCACCTTCCCTGCTAACTCCAGGTTCTCATTCTTGCTAATCTGTACAACACAGTACAAAGCTGTTGTTAATGAGCCAACCTGCCTTTTCCTCCTGTGACCCTGATTAGCATTTGAGTTTTCTACAGCTTCTCAAACTTTTCAAATTAAGTTCCCTTGGGGCTAAGAGTTGTGCTTTTTTTCTTCTCTGCAAATACCACTATAGGACCTCAGTAAGTTTGTGGGTTTGGTTCATTGAGACTTTAAGGCAGATTAACACTTTTTAGTCTGTTATTTATTCTAAATTACAGGAGACTGGTCAAGAGGTGACCACAAAGGACATTCTGTTTACAGACAAAGCTGAACCAGATTATCTGCAAATTGAAGGAATCTGCCCCGAGGTATAGCAGGACTGCTAAATTTTGGAAGTTGAAATCAGGGAAAGTTAATTTGGGGTAATCTGGATACTTATTGTTCTCCACTTTAACACTGACAGTAAAAAACAAGCTTATTAACTGCTTGTTAAATTAACACTCTGAGCATCAGCCTATAAGCAGAGGCAACATACACTGCCTTTGCTGTTCTTTCCCTGGGCCCAGAACATTAACTGATCCGTAGCAGAGGCTCATATATTTAAGACTTCAAATAACTGAAAGGGATGTATTAAGTATGTGGCCTAAAAGCAAAATATTTCATTTCTTTTAGGTCTCAGTTTTAGTCACAAAGGGAGGAAGAAGATATCACTGTTTCTGTCAACTTGGTGCTGCAGACAACACAGGAAACAGAAAGTGTTCCAGGGTCAAGTTTGGGAAACTGGTACAGGAACTGTGAATCTTGAAGGGGATGACACTGGAAGGTTCACAACGTAGCCTGAATCTATTTAAGCAGCAACTCCTCTGGAGCACTTGTGGACATTCCCAGGCCACACAGCAACCCTATGACAGAGGAACCCTCACCCTAGGAATAAAGGACTGCTCCCCACAGGTTTGAAACGACTTGTCCCCTGTTTCATGCAGTCAGCTTAGACAAGCCATGTCTAAAAGCAAATCTAAACCCCACAGCCCATGCTAGGCTGCCACTGTTTACTGTGGACTTGACAAATTCTACAAGTGAGGACAAAACAGTACATGTAGGGAGACAAAGCCAAGACTTCCAACCCAGGTTGAAGGTTCAAGACTGACATAGGTGAGCTGAGGGTGAAGGGGACCCTTTGGCAAAACAAACTGCTACATCTCAAGGAGTGGTGTAAGATGAAGTCCAGACCATTCATTAACCACAGAGGAGATAATCTAAGAGTGAACTGAAGAGCTTGTAGAATAGAGAGAAACTGGAAGAATCTCCTGGAAAGTCTTTTCAAAACAAATATATTCAGCGTGGAGAGAGGGTGGCCTTTTCAAGACAGATGGGGCAGAGATGGGCATAAAAGTAGAAGCCTATTTTGAAAAAGAACCCCAGGTAACATTGAGCATGTTCTCAATCCTCTATCAAACTGATCTGAAGTAGGCCAAGGAGTTCTCTGGAGATGGGCCTGCAGGATCTTAAAATCAGGCAAATCCTGAAACAAAATGCACTAGCTGACCCCCACCCCCACCCCAGATCCTACCCATTCTTACTAAGGTCAGATCTAGTTCATCTTCAGGGGATAAGAGTACATTGTTACCCCTCTTAAAAGGATTGAGACCTTGAATCAAGACAAATCTGCGGACACATCCCTTAAGCTATGAAAAATTGTAAAGAAAACAGGAGGACAACCCTACTTCCCTTACAAGCTGATTAACCTTCATCAACTTACCTTCAAGTTCATCTCTAATCCTTAGTTTCTCTGTTTATAGAAAGAAGAGAGGATTTACTTTTAAAGTTATTACCTCCAGTCACTGTAAGAGATCTAGGGCAGAGCTGGCACTCAGATTAGCAAGCTTTCCCCTGAGAACACTTCTCAGGCCTTCCTAGACCACTGGCTAGGAACAGACCCTGGGCTACTTGTAGTCTGAACAAGACACGTGAGCACTCAGGATGCACACACCCCCCTAACTGCAGTTAAAACCCCCAAACCAGGACTTGCCCTCCATAGGACTGCAAAACCCCTTTGCCTCACTGAGCCCTACCTTCTCGAGAAATAAAAAAACTTACAAGCCAGCCTCAGAAAGTTAAGAACGTGTAAGACAAGAGGAAAAAGATATTCGATGTTGTTGTGTGACAGTTCTGGCCCACCTGTGGGGTTATTATGCTGCAGGTCCCAAGAGGACCTAGCCTAAAACCCGCCAGTTAGCTTGAGCGCCCTGGGAAGAAGAGCTGGGGGTCTCACAGGAAAAAGACCAACCAGAGTCTGCAGGGTGGAGCCCCATGGTGCGGGGATTTTTAGAACCAGACAAGGAGTGGGTGTGGGTGGGTCCAGCTGAGTTTTTTTCTTTTTGTTTGCTTTGGGAGGGAAAGAGAAGGGGCCCAAGCCTGTGAGGGGGCTCGGTAGTTCTTCCACTAACTCTGAACCCAACCCCCTCCACTTCCAAATCCGACTTCCAAAGTGCTAGACGTTTCCTAATAATGGCTCGCACTTAAGGAGCACTACTAGCACAATGGTTAGCACTTAATAAGCCCTTGTTATGAAAATACCAGCTAACGTTAGGGCTGGAAACTGATTCCGGTTCAGGAGAGGGGAGGGCGGACTTTTTGCCTGGCGCAGAAAGGAGGGTGTGTCGGGTCCAGGGTGACAGGACTGGGACCAGGTTCTAGGGGTCCAGGGGTCAGTTTGGGTCTGGCTACCAGACTCTTGGGCCCAGGACCGGCGTAGCCAGGGCGGCCCTCGGCGCCCCTACCTTTGAGCGAGGTCTCCACCAGGCGCAGGTAAAGCTGGGAGCTCTTGTTGCCGTGGCTCATGCGCTGGGCGAGCCCGTTGCGCTGCAGGACGCACTCTTCAAACTGAACAACATTCTGGTGGCGCCGTTTGAGGCTGGTCAGGGCCCAGAATTCGGCCAGCGCCAGCTCCACGTTCTCGGGGGCGTCGCAGCGGATCTTCTTGACCGCCACCCGGGCCCCGCTGCGCCCGGCCACTGCCTCGTACACCACGCCGTAGCTGCCGCGCCCGATCTCCGCCAACAGGCTGTAGCGCGGCCGCGCCGACCCGCCGCCGCCCTCCGGCCGCCGCCGCGCCAGGTAGGCCTCGCCCGGGGCCTCGGCCGCCACCGGATCCATGGCCTGGGCCGCCGCCGCCGGCCTCAGCTTCGCGCTGAGCGCCCGCGGCACTGGGCTTCGCCTTTTCCGCTCGGGGCTTTGTGTACCTCTGCGAGCGCCGTCCTCCTCCCCCGTTTCCATGGCTGCGGGCGGCGGGGGGAGCAGCAACGGCGCTGCCCGGGACCCCCCTGCCTCATCCCTCCGTCCGGCCCCGGGACGCGGAAGAGCGGGACCTTGGATTGTGACCTGCAGGCGAAAAAATCGGTTAAACGACCAGGCCGAGGCGGGGAAGCCTGGAGCGTAGGCCTCAGGGCGTCCCACCTCCTCCTCTGGCCGTTGCGGCCCCTTTAAGACGGAAGCCACGGCTGCAGAGCGAACGGGGGAGGGGAGGGGAAAGCGGGAAAGACGAAACCACGGGGCACTGGCTCAGAGGGGAGAACCGGGAAAGAGAGCAGAAAGTACCCGCCTTTTCAGTTAATTTATCGTGTAGCAGTACGAAAAACAAGGACCCGCAGTTTTCACGACTGATGAAAATCGCCTTCAGAAGCAATTCGGACTGTGAAAATCTTTTTCCGCCGCCTGGCTCCCTTTGGGATGCCCCTCCCCGCGTCCCGCCCTGAGTTCTCCCGGGTGTAAACAGTCCATTGAATTAAGCCCGAGCGGAGCCCCGCGGACCGACCCAAGTCCCGCCGGACTGCGGGTGTAAGGGGTTGGCTTAAAAGTTCGGCGTCCTTGAGCGCGCCCAACCCGGGGCCCAGCTGCCCTCACAGACGCCCGAGGCGGCAGGCGTAGTTTCATCTTCGGTGCTAGCTTTTACGCCGCGGACAGCGCGCTTACCTGGCCGGCGCCCTTCCACTTCCGGGCAGCGCGTTTCCCTCCTAAGGCCCCCGGCTGGGGATGGTCCGCCCCTGGACAGGGCTGCCTCGGGTACGGAGCCGCGCGGGAGGCCGCGGCCCGAGTCGGGCGTGCGACGGCGCCTGCTACTGTACGAGTGACGGCAGCAGTGCTCTCGGGGTACAGCTGGGCGTCCGGGCTCCCGCGGCTCTCCACGTGTTCGCGCCAGCTGAGCCCTTTACGTAACCTTTTTATATAAGCCGCACGTCCGGCCCTCTGTCGGGCCAGCGGAGGCTCCTGGTGGCCCATCCCCCGGAAGGCCGGCTGAGTGCTGCGCCGCCGGGGTCCTGCCAGGGTCGGCGAAGCAGCCGCAGTCCGACGCACCCACGCGGGGCGGGGGCCCAATCACAGGCGAGAACACCCAACCAACAAAAAATAGGCGCCAAATTCCCGCGATTCAGCTGTGGTCTCTGGTCTCCGCAGCCGCCTGTGCACCGCAACCTCCTCTCTTGGCCCGCGCTGCGAGAAGAGTTGCACGCAGTAGGCTCTAATAAATACTGATTGGTCGATTGGATTGGTCGGTTTAATTGATTCATGGGTCTTGCCTGGGAACCGCCCGGACTGGGCTGGACTCCATACCCTGTCTCCTATTAAATCTGTTGATCTTGGGCAAACCATTGCTTCCACTTGGAGCCTCAGTTTCCTCTTCTGCAAAATGGGTAGACTGGGCCTTACCTCCCAGGATTGATAGCCCCAAATTAAATAAGTATATTTTATATAAAATGTTAATGTGTAAATATTTATATGTAAATAGAAAGTGGCTAATTGGATGCAGGGCTGAGAGCGCTGAATGTAAGCTCCTTTTAGGCAGGAATTTTAAAATATCTTGTTCACTAGTGGTGCCTAATAGTTCCGTATTTGTAAACTGAATCTACAGATATTTATGGAGTGCCTATAATGTGTGAGGCACTTAAGTTTTAAGTTGCTTCCCAGGTTCTGTTTGGTTCAGTTGCTCAGTCTTGTACGACTCTTTGCGACCCCATGAATCGCAGCATGGCAGGCCACCCTGTCCATCACAAACTCCCAGAGTTTACTCAAACTCATCCATCGAGTCGGTGATGCCGGGCCTTAGAAAGCATCACTACAAACGAAGCTAGTGGAGGTGATAGAATTCCAGTTGAGCTATTTCAGATCCTAAAAGAGGATGCTGTGAAAGTACTGCACACAATATGCCAACAAATTTGAAAAACTCAGCAGTGGCCACAGGACTGGAATAGGTCAGTTTTCATTCCAATCCCAAAGAATGGTCAAACTACTGCACAATTGCACTCATCTCACACGCTAGTAAAGTATTGCTCAAAGTTCTCCAAGCCAGCCTTCAGCAATACTAAACCGTGAACTTCCAGATGCTCAAGCTTCCCAGGTAGCTAAGATAAAGAATCCGCCTGCCAATGCAGGAGACATAAGAGATGCTGGTTTGATCCCTGGGTGGGGAAGATTCATTGAGGAGGGCATGGCAACCCACTCCAGTATTCTTGCCTGGAAAAGCCCACGGACAGAGGAGCTGGTGGTCTAGGGTCCATAGGGTCAGAGAGTGCAACAAGACTGAAGCGACTTAGCACCGCATTCTTGCTGGGGAAAGAGCACTGAACAAGACAGTCTCTACCTTAGTTGAGATTCTGTGCCTCATCAAATCATATGGGTGACTGCAAATTAGTTAACACACTTTCTTTTGTCTCTCATCCTTATCTGTAAAATGGGAAGAGCAGTATGTGAGAAGTCAGTGAGTTTAGAAGGTTAAAGCACTTAGGACAGGGCCTTTGCACTCATTAAATGTTAGATATTAAATAAACACACAGAATCATTTTGACAATGTAAGTGCGATAGATGAAAAGAATGAGCTAAAGAGTGCCTGGGGACTGGCCACTTCTTTTGGGGGTGATCACTAAAATAAATTTTGGGGATAAGATTTCAAATTTACATATAAATTGCAAGCATGGTAAAGATTCTCATACATTTTTTAACCAGAATAATAATTTGCTATATTTTACTTTATTTGCATTGTCCTATTCTCTTGTGTATTTGTGTATGTTTAATATATAGACGTGGGTGTACTTTCCCCCCCACACCACTTTGTGTTTCAGACATCATGCCCTTTTAATCCCAAATACTTCTGTGTGTATTTCCTAAGAACAGGAATATTGTCTTGCAAAATCTTGGTACAACTATCAAAATCAAGGATTTTGACAATAAAATGATTTTTAATACATCTTCCATACTTAAATGTTGCCACTTGTCCCAATAATGTAGCTATTCCCACGATCCAATCAGGATCACATATTTACATTTAGTTGTCATGCCTCTTTGGTGGTGGTGGTTTAGTTGCTAAGTCATATTAGACTCTTTGTGACCCGCATGGACTGTAGCCTACCAGGCTTTTCTGTCCATGGAATTTCCCAGGCAAGAATACTGGAGTGGATTTCCATTTCCTCCTCCTGTGGATCTTCCCGACCCAGGGATCGAACTCGAGTTTCCTACATTGTTGGCAGATTACCACTGAGCCACCAGAGATTCCCCATGCCTCTTCAGTTTCCTCAGAAAAGCAGTTAATTACTCAGCTTTTCTTTGTCTTTGTGACCTTAACATTTTTGAAGAGTACTGGTGAGTTATTTTCTAGATGTCCCTAAATTTAGATATGTCTGATATTTTCTCTATTAGAATCAGGTTACACATTTTTGGTAGGAATGGCACCAAAAGAAGTCGAGTCCTCCATGGACTGAATCAGGAGGCATGTGACGTTGTTTTATCCCAGTACCGATGATGTTCACTTTGATCACTTGGTGTCTGCCAAGGTACTCCACTGGAAAGTTACTGTTTTCACCTTTTAGTTATTAAGTATCTCATGGGAAGATATTCTGAGACTATCCTGTTCTGCCTCAGACCCTCACCCACTGTTTTTTACCATTCATTGATGATTCTTGCCTGAATCAGTTTTTCCGATGATTACAAAATGGTGGTTGGAGAGCCTTTAATTTAGTTTGCTAGGGCTTCCATAACAAAATACCACTGACTGGGTGGCTTAATAAATTTATTTTCTCACAGTTGTGGAAACTAGAAGTCCAAGATCAAAGTGTTGGCATTTTGGTTTCTCCTGAAACCTCTGTCCTTAGTTTGTAGATGTTGCCTTCTGGCTATAAGGCATAAGACCATTCCTCTATGTTGGTTATCTTTTCCTCCTCTAGAAAGGACACAGTCATACTGTGTTTGGGCCTACCCTAACTGGCTCATTTAGCTTAATCACCCCATTAAAGACTTTATCTCCAAATATCCTAAGGTACTGGGGGATTGTGAATTCCATGGTGAAGTACAGGGAAACCTGGCATGCTGCAGTCTATGGGGTTGCAAAGAGTTGGACACGACTGAATGACTGAACAATAAAGGTACTGGAAGACTATAAATTCCATATATGAGTTTGGCAAGGGTGTGGAGGGGAGAGTGACACAATTAAGTCTTTAACAGTGACATGAACTGGAACCTCAAGCTAGCTGTGTTAGTGGAAAGGCATTTCAGGAAGAGGGAATAAGTACGGAAGCTGTGAGACAGGAACATGATTGATGTCAAATGTAAGCCAGTGGGTGAGAATGTGAAATAGTACAACCACTTTGGAGAAAAAAGTTTAGCAGTTTCTTATATTTACACTATAGCCAAGTAAGAATTCATTAATACACTTACATAAGAATGTTTATAGTGACTTTTTCTTTAAGAGTCCCAAATTGGAAAACACTCCAGTGTTCAACAATATTTGAATGAATAACCAGATTGTTGTATTCTTGTACCAAGAAATGCTGTTCATTGGGTGAAAAAAAGGAATGAAATATTGATACAACAACATGGCTGAATCAAAATAATTATGCCAAGTGAAAGAAGTCAGGTACAGAAGTGTATATACTGGATAATTCTATATATGATTCTTGAAAGTGCAAGCTAATTTATGGTGACTAAGAAAGCAGATTAGTAGTTGGGGTAGGGAGGAGGAGATGGAATATAAAGGGACTTGATAAGCTTTTTGAGGGGGTGGATATGTTCCTGACCATGAAATTATCTTACTATACTTTCAAGAGGGGAATATGTTAAAAAAAAAAAAACTGCTTTAAGTAAGTGCAATTTTTGAACATCAAGTTTACAGCTTTACCTAAATAAAGCTACTTTATAAATGGGGGCGGAGGGGAAGAATAAATACTGTGTAATTCCGTTAATGTAAATGCAAGCTGCACTGATCTATGGTAGCAGAAATCGTATCAATGGTCATCTTTGGGTGGGAATTGACTGCTTAGGGGCACAAGGGAATTTTCTGGGTAATGGAGTTTTACTGTGTGTAAATTATATTGCAGTAAAGTTGATTTAAAAGATGAGAAAACAAACCATACTGTGCCACCATGAACACCCATATCTTTACTTAGAGCTTCTTTTTTATTAGATGATTTATTATTTTTTTTAAATTATTTTATTTTTGGCTGCACTGGTTCCTGGTTGCTCCAGGCAGGCTTTCTCTAGTTGTGGTATACAGGCTTCTCACTGCAGCAGCTTCTCGTTGCAGAGCCTGGGCTGTAGGGCATGCTGGCTTCAATAGTTGCAGCACGTGTCGTGATGCCTCAGTAGTTGTGATGCCCAGGCTAGGTTGCCCTGCAGCATGTGGGGTCTTCCTGGACCAGGGACTGAACCTGAGTCCCCTGCACTGGCTGGCAAATTCTTAACCACTGGACCACCAGGAAGGTCCTACTTAGAGTTTCTAAGGGCAGACAGCTGCATCGCGCTCAGGCACAGCTCTGGCTCCACTCCTGTCCTCACTGGCCTCATGTGTTGAGCAAGCCCAGTGGAGTCTCCCTTCCTGTAGTTTTCCTACCTGAACTTTAGGAGAGATCAGATCTGAAGCTCTGGGAGAACCATAATGAGTGTAAACTCTTTTTCATACTGTGAGAAGGGCCAGCCTACTTGAAAAAACTGTTGATGGCTTGATGTTTTTTCTCTGCACTTTGGTTTTTTTAAGTTATAGAAATAACCTATTATTTATTATTATGACCAATAGCCAATATTTATTAAAGTTTTCTGTCCAGCACAGAAATTAACAGAGAATTCTTATGCCCATCCTGTGAGGAAGTTACTATCATTAACCCCATGTTACAGATGAAGAGACTGAGAGAGGAGTTTGATTAACTGGAATTTGAACTGACACCTCAGGCTCTTCATCCCACCTTACCCTGCTCAGCCTCCCCCAAGGTAAGCATTTACTTGAACAATTATGGCAAACC